CCGGGCTCGGTGCTGGCGTCCGTATTCCTGTTCATGGCCGAGACGATGGCGGCTCTTTACCTGAGCAGCACTTACCGCTCAGGCGGCGACGGCATGTGGCAGTCCCTGACGCTGCTCTTCTCGCTGCTGCCCTGTGCGCTCGTGCAGCTCACCCTCCTCTTCGTGCACCGCGACTTCAGCCGCGACCGGCCGCTCGTGCTGCTGCTGCACCTGCTGCAGCTTGGGCCCCTCTTCAGGTGCGTGCGGGGCCCCCGGGCCCCAGGCCGCAGACCCTGGCCGCCCGCCCGGGGGGGGGCGGCCTCTCCCGGAAGGGACAGGTGGTGGGACCGAGACCCGGCCCAGGCCCAGCCACCTCGCCCCTCAGCCCCACCGTTGCAATCCCAGGAATGCGACAGAATCCTGGCATGGTGGCAGGAAAGCCGGGCAAACTGCGTTCCTCTTAGGTTCTTGCCTATGAAATTGCCAACATTCAAGGGAATCTGACAGAAATGGCAATTTCATGTGGTTCAGCCTCCTAAAAATCCGGGCTTTCTCCACGGTCCGGTGGGCTCTGGCAGGATGGGCTTGGGTTGTGATAAAGCCTTGGGAAGTGTGTCCTAAATGGCCATTGGAGCAGAAGTGGGGACAGATTATTTAATTTATTAAACACGTGGAGTTTCCTGTGTGCTGGGCACTGTTCTGAGCGCTTTACAAATATTAATTTATTCAACTCTCACACAGAACTCTAGAAAGCAATACGTCGGTCTTTTTTTCCTGTGTGTGGGAACACACGGTTGTAGAACCATTTTCCGCCCCCGCCTGACATAAACCTCGTCCTTGAAGCTGGAACGCAACGTGCCACGAAGACAAACACTTGCAGTGTGTTAAGGAAAGAAAAACTATCAGTGACATTTCTGGAAATTAGTTTTTATTAATACAAAGCAAGAGAAATACATGATAATGAAGTAGACTTTGGCTTAGCCAAGGACCGTGAAGAGAGTTTAAAATGTGTTGTTTTGATGTCGTTTTAGCTCTGTAGGGAAAGCAAAACCAAGGGTTTCTATCTGGATTAGAAATAAATTTATATTACTGAGCTTTAGACATAGATGATAGAGGAATTGGAGGAGATAGAAAGGCCAGAGAAGCACCTCAGCTGCCAGAAAATTCAGCTATTCAGCTAGCCAGGGACCTGTCCTACTAGGAAACATCTCCCTCTACCCACCCCCTCTTCCACACACAGCACCAAGTCAGGCGGCAAAATAGGTTATACAGAGCCCTATAATAAAACTTTGCACTTCATATTAAAGACCATTCTAGGTGACACTCAAGGTATGGACTTGTAGTTTATACATAGTCAGGATAAAGTTGGTGAACAAATTTTCCAGAAGCTGTGGAATTCTAGAAAGGAAGAGAAACAGGTACATTGGCAAAAGAAGTTGCTACTGACATCTTAAGAGCAAAGGAAGAGTTAAAGGGTGGGGGAAGAGAGAGAGAGAGAGAAAGGAAAGAAAAAGAGGAGAGAAAGGGAGGGAGGGAAATTTAAATTTTAAAGCTCCCACACCCTGGAGCCATTTGGTGAGGAGAGACTTGGTCTTCGCTGGCCAAGTAGGCCACAGCATCCTGATTATATTACTGCTCAGTAAAATCAGTGTGATATGACTTTGGGCAAGCCTCTCATCATTTCTTAACCTCATCTGTGAAAAGAAAACTCATTGTTGGTGATGTTTAAGTAAAGTGACAGAGAAAAGGGAACTGACACTTGTCAAATGCTTCTTGTGCTTGATGGTTTGGCAGGTGCTTAAATGCCTCAGTTCATTGAATCCTCATCATGAACTAGATGTAATTGTCCCCATTTTATAGATGAAGAAAATGAGACCCTAGACCACATACACAAGGCTTCTTATAAATGAAGTGGAGTGAATTATGTTCTCTACACTCTGTGAAAGAAGGCAGAGGAGTGTGGAGTGCATTTTATCAATAGTTTGGTCTTAAGAAAGTTTGGTCATCTTGGCAAAATTTAAAAACACAACCTAAATAGTCATCCAGGTAAATGATAATATCCTATCATTTCTGCCATTTAAAATGTTTCTAAATACTAAGAGTGACCTAAGGTAAAGCTAATGATATAATATTATGTATAAAACAGGATGGCACTTATAAACCTGAGCTCAAGGAAATATACTAAGTTAAGAGTGGTAATTTCCGAATGGTGGAGTTATGAATGATTTCAATTTTTTCCTGAAAAATATGGAAAGTGGATCATTTCCTCCTTTATTATATACTTCTCTACATTTTTCAGTTATTACAGTAAAAATATTTCAACTTTATTAAAGAAAGAAAAAGTTTGCTGCTTTGAAGAGATAACTAGCCATATGAAAAGTTTCAACACCGTAAAAAGATTTATTTCCAGAAAATTCTGAATGATTCATTGTCTTCTTTCAGGGGGAGAAACAAAATAAAACATAATAAACAAAGCAACAAACAACCCCCTTCTGACAAGGACTCTGTCATTCTAATACAGCTGATTTATTTCAAGGAGATATCGGACCCATGATCTTAAAGCTGAGATACACAAGATGTAGTTCCAAGCCTCCTTGCTTCTAGATGAAAAAAAGAGCAATTTGATGTTGTATATATTAGTGTGACTTAATATGTTATTAGAAGTTCTTCCTGCTCACTGTTTGATTCTATTTTAACTCTAAGATTCTACATAGGATCAACATTATTTCCCCCGTACCAAGGAAAGGCATGGTGTGTTTCTTTCCCCTCCTTATCAATTAGACTTAGTAATATTTTGAAATTGTTTTTGGAAATTTTAGCTCTATTTATTTTTGGGTGCACACTAACTGGCCCAACACATATTCCTTTTAGGTGAAATGCTGTTTTTGAATTTACTCAGTTAAACTGAATTATATTACACCATAATAATTATGGGCCAAAAACTGCAAACGAGGCCCCGATATTTCTTTCGTTTAGGGCAGGGATGGGGAACCTTTTTTCTGCCAAGGGCCATTTGGATATTTATAACATCATTCTTGGGCCATACAAAATTATCAATTTAAAAATTAGCTATGAGAAAAGCTCCTAGATTTATTGAATTTTGAGTCCCACTTGTAGTTGCCTTCGCAGGGCCAGACCAAGTGATTTTGAGGGCCATTATGTATGGCCCACGGGTCAGATGTTCCCCACCCCTGCTTTAGGGAAGCAGCAGAGAGCATCATATTTCACTTATATCAGTCTTATATTTAAAACGAAGGTTGCAGTTTGTATGGTTGTTTTCTAATTAAGGCTAGGTTTTGATGGTAAGAACACAGAATAATGTCTTGAATTTATTTTTTGTTTTAAGGACAGTCTTATTGTGAATGATAATAGATATTCTGAAAAACCAGAGGGGGAAAAATACCTCTTAACAACAACAACAAAAAAATTTGTTTATTATTTTACAATATGTTAATTTTATAAATTAATTGGGAGAAGGAATGAATATAAATGAGTTACTATACTAGTTCAAGGAAGTTTCCTTCCTTTTCATTTACTGGTATAATGAGGAAAAATGGCACATGAAAATCTGGGTTTATAAAATAAAAACTAAGAAGTTCCAGTAATATTTTATAGAACATTGCAGAATGATTCACCATAGTCTTTCTCTCTATTGTAAACTTTCAAAAGACTTTCAAATAATTATAGCCTAAATTTGAAGAGAACTTTTTGTTTGCAAAGTGCTTTTACATACAATATTTAATTCCTTCCACTGTAAAACCTTGTGAGCTGTCATCATCTTTTTTTTCACAGTTGAGGAATTGAGACTCAGTGAGATTATGTAACTGGCTTTTCAGAGGTCATATGGCACTTGCTATTTAACCACTTTGGTTCTTGTGTAGCTTCACCATGCATGTGTGTCTTATGTAGATAACATGACATAGAAGAAATCATAGTATTTCTTTTGAAACATGTTTTTATTAACTATCTTCAAGGCTTTTTGTTACCACAGGTTATTATGCTGACTCCAACATGCATGGTTTCAGCTAAGAAATGAACTCCTACTGTGGTGCTTGAAAATGAAATTTTCTTTTTTTTAAAAAAGGATCAACCTGCTGATTATCTACATTAGGGGTTAGCAAACTATGCCCCACAGGCCAGATCCCCCCCACTGCCTGTTTTGTAAATAAAGTTTTATTGAAACAGCCATGCTCATTCATTTATGTACTGTGTATGACTGCGTTTGCACTACAGTGGCACAGTTGACTAGTTGCAATAGAGACCATAACCTGCAAAGCCTAAAATATTTACTCTGTAAATACTTTACAGAAAAAGTTTGCCAATCCTTGATCTACTTCATACTGAAAAACTACCTTGAATGATTTTGATGAAAATATTTAATTTACAGCTATATTTAGACAACCTCTCAAGCAAAAAACAGCAAAAAGACATATTTGGAGTAATTGGATGAGTCTTGGAGAATTTTAATAAGAAATAGAAATTTCTTATCATAAGTTCCTTAACCAGTAGTGGCAAGTAGTGGAGGTCTTAGGGCCTTTCACAAATTTATTAAACAACTACTATGTGTAAAACTCTGTACTGAGATAAGTGTATTTACTTGGGGAAAATAGTGGATTGCAAGGGAGGCCACTTTGTGTCACATTGTGGGACATTCTTTCACTTCCATTGATAGACACTAAAGTTTCATTTCATCTGCAGTATTGTAAGTTCTTGTTTAATGTCCCCTCCTCAACATCAATAGAATTGCTTTCTCCTCTGAACCTTTATTTCATTCATTCATCCCTTAGCATGTGTTGGTGTTTCTTTTGTTTGTTTGTTTAGTCTTTTAAAATTCTAGGCTTGAATTTATTATTGAGGTAAAATATCTGTTGGTAAAAATGACAGAAGAGCAAAAAACACATAAGTACAATTTAAAAATAATAAAAAGCCTCTAATTTAACTGACTAAAGAGAACAATTCTTAACATTTTGTTGTACATATATCCTTACTAATATTTTTATAGTGATAAGCTAATAAACTATCTCTTAGGGGAAAAAGCCCTGATTTGCAGTGTTTGCTGATATATGTGATGTAAAATTCCCATCATGGCATATTTCAAGCTACCAGTTGGTTAACAACTGGATCACAAAATTCGTAACTATTTAACAATCTCTTGAGTCAGTATGAGTCAGCTCAAGCTCATCACTGTTTATGTGTGTGTACATGTGAGAGATTTATATGTATTTTTATACATATGTAATTTTCTCTTACAAAAAATGGAATTTTCTATATAAATTCTATTGTAATTTACTCCTTTCACTTTCCAAATATAGCAAACATTTTTATATATCAGTAGATGTATCTGTATTTCTATACCATCAAATTTAAGGACTGGATAATATTTCATTGAATACATATATTATAACTTATTTAATCATTGTTTTATTTTGGGACCTTTAGAGTATTCCCAGATTTTTGCTATTACAAATAATGCTATGATTCAAATTCTTGCAGTAGGCTTTCTTTCGAAGTGAGTTAATATATGAGAAATATTTTATAAATTGAAAATGCTGTATAGATATTAGTCGTACTTACTATTCATTTTTTTTATCATGTGTATGTCCATTTTCCCATTAGATTGGTATCCAGGTGTCTTTGCATTCCTCACAGCACATAGCAAAGTGCATCTCCAGTCATCACATATTTGAAAATAAAGACAATGGTCCATCTTTGCTGTGGTCAGTGGTCCAACAGTGTAAAGTTGCTAGGCCTCAAACTTGGATTTTTCCTCAGAATGAATTCAGTTGCATTAGCTGGACTTGAACTCATAACCTGAACTTTATTATTTTCAGGTGAACAAATTGGTCCAGGCTGTTTTACATTTTTTCTTGTAATATATTAATGTGTCTTTGACCCCATTGGACAAAATGTAGCTGACTAAGCACACACATAACACACACACACACACACACACACACACAACTGTTTACCTTCTTTCTCCCAGGAACAAATGAACAAAGGTGATAATCACAAAATAGATCTACTTTGTATTCACCAGAGAGGTTCCTGCATTTCTTTTCTTACATCAAGTTTTATTATTTCAAATTATGAATGTATTCTTATTGCCATAGTTGCCTCATGGTGAGGGTACAAAGTTAACATTCAATAAAAAAAGTGAAGCCATAAAAACTTCTGGCAGCATTATACGGTTGTTATAAAAATGCAGGTTTGGGGAAAATGTCCTTTAATAATTTTAAACCTAAGACCATCACATTTTTCTTATTCCTAGGAGAAACTGATTTTTCCCCCAGAACTTTATTATGGAAAAAAATTTTATTAAATTTATTGGGGTGACATTGGTTCACAAAACCATACAGGTTTCAAGTGTATAGCTCAACAAAACAAAACATCATCTGCGCACTGCATCATGCACCTATGGCCCCAAACAAAGTCTCTTTCTGTTTCCATTTTTCCCCCATTTTCCCACCTCCACCTACCTCTACCCCCTTTTCCCTCTGGCTATCACCACACTGTCATCTGTGTCTATGTGTTTTTTATATATTCTTTTGCTTAATCCCTTTACCTTCTTTCATCCAGCCCCCCAACCCCTCTCCCCCTTCTGTATGTTTTGGAACATACAGAAAACAACTTGAAAGAACTCTATGGTGAACACCCAAGTATTAACCACCTAGATTCTATAATTGACATTTTATTTCATACATCTATCCCTCTATTGATCCATCAATCCATTTGTGTGTGTGTGTGTGTATTTCAAAGTAAATCAGACACATCAGTACTCTTCCTTTAGTATCCATATCATTACCTAGAGAGGAAATCCAAGTCAGGTACTCTTGTCAGTGTAGAAAGGTGACTGGTTATGGCTCCATCCACAGTGCAGGCTTGAAATTCCATAAATAAGACATAGCTGGCCAGCCCCTGGGTATGATCGACTTTAGTCGTGTTCCATAAGGGCTTATGAGAGTAGACAAATAGGAAATATATTGTGGTCTCCCCGGGGAACACAAGGACTAATGACTTGCCCAGGGCTGCACAGCTAATAAGTGTCAGGAAAGCAAATTGAATATTTTTCTGTGGCTCTACTTGATTTCCTTGCCTCAGTGGGCTTCGATGTCACCTCTCAATTTGGTTCTTACTCAGTCCCAGTTGGCCTGCTGGAGGGACTCAAGGGGACTGTGTGCTCAGAATTGGCTCTTGGTGTGGATAATTTTAGACGAGGGGCTGCAGTCCAGAGTAGCCAATTCAAGGCTTTGAGAATCAAGCTAAGTGTAAGCATGGTAACCGAGAAAAGAGAATCCTGTCTGCTCTGATTATCATGACTTGCTGATTTGTTTCCAGGTGTTTTGAAGTCTTTTGCATCTATTGTCAGTCAGGCCACATCGAAGAGCCTTATGTCAGCATCACCAAGAAGCGACAGATGCCAAAAAATGGCCTCTCAGAGGAGATTGAAAAGGAAGTAGGCCAGGCAGAGGGCAAGATGTTCACCCACCGATCTGCGTTCAGCCGGGCATCAGTGATCCAGGCTTTCCTGGGCTCAGCCCCCCAGCTAACCCTGCAGCTATATATAAGCACCTTGCAGCAGCACGTCACTGTTGGACGATGTAAGTATATTTTTTTATCTCTGCCTGCATTTGGGGATCAACATGGGGAGCAAAACATAAAGTTTATTTTGTTTTAGGTGAAATTCATTCATATGTGCATTCAGTCCTTAATTTGCATTCCAGTTACTAAGCTCAAAGTGAGTTAAAACAATAACAATGTTTATTTGCTTATGAATCTGCAATTTGGGCAAAGCTCAGAAGGGTTCACCTATGCTCTACTGTGCATCAGCTGGGGTGGCCCAAAGATGGGGGCCTAGAATCCATTGGAGGCCCATTCACTCACATTTCTTATTGTTGTTTTTTTTTTTTTTAAATATATCTCTATTGATTTCAGAGAGAGGAAGAGGGGGAGAGAGAGATAGAAACATCAATGATCAGAGTCATTACTCGGCTGCCTCCTGCACGCCCCGGACTGGGGAACGAGCCCACAACTCGGGCATGTGCCTTGACCAGGAATCAAACCACAATCTCCTAGATCCTAGGTTGATGCTCAGCAGCTGAGCCACGCCTGGCTGGGCTCACGTTTCTTATTGTTGATGCTGGCTATTGCTGGTGGTCTCAGATCTTCTTCATTTCATCTCTCTATGTGGGCTGGTTTGGGCTTCTTTATAGCATGATGGCTATTTTCAAGGGTCAGTGTCGTAAGAGGGAGATAGGACAGACCAGGTGGAAGAGTATCTCCTTTTGTGACCCAGCCTTGGAAGTCATGTGAAATCATTTCTGCTGTATTTTCTTTGTTGAAGCAGTTAGGAATCCTGCTGAAGTTCAAGGTAAGAGGATGGAAGGAAACCGACTCTTGCTGGGAAAGGGTAGAGTTCTGGAAGTTCACTGCAGTAACCATTTTGGAAAATATTTTAGGCTGAAAATACAGCTGTCAGAGGCCAGGCAATCTTTGGATTTTGCTTCTGTCTTTCAGTGATAGTTGTAAGCCACATGAGACAATTGGTTATAACAGCTTCTTTGTGGTAAATGATGGAAGCAAGGGCACGCTCTTGTATTCTTGAAGTTCGAATAGGTATCTCAGCTTTTAAATGAACAGTTCTCTAACTTTTGGGCTATTCTCACATTATCAAATTAAGGGAAGGTTTTGATTAAGCCAGATTTCAAAAAAACTCTATGTGCATAAACACAATGAAAATCCTTCATATGAGAAGTGGAGATAGCTCCTTTTAAACATTAATATTTCAGGTAAATGAAAACTAGACATTCTGGTAAGTTTTACTATACAGATAAGCAAAAATGAGTTAAAAGCCTTAAGTTGAAAAATACATATTGAAGATAATGCTGAAATTAAAATTTAAAAAAATAATTCACTCTTATTAATTTTACTTCCCTTAATCTTATCTTCTTTCTGCCTGTATTCTAGGCTGTATGGTAGAATGTCTTAATTTATGTCTAAGTCACAGCTCTCTCCCTCATCCAGGTTGCCTCAGAGTGACTATGATTCTTTTTTTTTTTAATCCTCACCGGAGGATATTTTTTTCCTTTGCTTTTCAGAGAGAGTGGAGGAGGGGAGGGGAGAGAGACAGAGACAGAGAGAGAAGCATCAATGTGAGAGAGACACATCAATTGGTTTCTTCCTGCACGCGCCCCTACTGGGGCTGAGGATTGAGCCTGCAACCCAGATACATGCCCTTGAATGGAATCGAACCTGCGACCCTTCAATCCAAGGGCCACCGCTCTATCCACTGAGCCAGACTGGCTAGGGTGTGACTATGATTCCTAAGATGTATCAGTACCTTAAGTTGAGGTCTTGGTGGATTAGCATTTATGGGAAAATACCTTCCATAACCACAGACAGATAGTAAGTGCTCAAAAACTACCACAGCATCTTTGCTCTCTAAGGACTTATAACTGGAATGGGCCTTGACCAAGGCAAGTCTGGTATATGCCACTATACCCTTTCCCCAGTTCATTGTTTTTTCATGTGGCACGCAGGGACACAAGGAGAGACCAGATGTGGTAATTGTCTGTTTGATTTTTACGAGTAGACCCAATTTTTTTCTTAAGTTTTTGAAAATGAAGGTTGTCTTATAGTTCAGAGGTCAGCAAGCTGCAGCCCAGGGGCTTAATCAAGCACTGCTTGTTTTTGTATTCTGTTCAGGAAAATAAAACCTATCTTGTAAATGTCAGTGTCTCAAAAAAATATCTGTGAGATGCCCCCAAAGGACTTGGAAAAATATAAGTCCTCTGAGAGTTAAACAACAAATCAAATATATATGGAAAAAGGAAATGGGAATGGTCCTTTTAAAATTCAGATGGCTGCCATTTAGGTAGGTCTTGACTAACCCCAGTCACCTCCTTAACAAATCTGGGGAAGGAATTCCTCAGCAGGAAGGAGAAAGGCAGTTATAATTGAAACATGGGCTGGGGTATGTCACAGAGACAAACATTGACATTATCCATCATATGATTAGTGATGCATTTGCTGCAAGGGACAAACACTTAACTACAGGGTTAAACCCCAGGGTTTATTTTGCTAATCTAACAAGAAATTGGAGGGGAGCAGTTTGCTGGCATTATTTCAGCTGCTCTCAATGGCAAAGCTGATGGCCCTGAAGTTCCATTGGCCAGCAGTGCTTCTCAGGGAGTTGTAGAATGCTAAGAGGTGGAAGGGATCTAAGAAGTCATGTCTGATTTTGCATTTTATGTAGAAATCCCATCTTTGGTGTCTCCAAAAGGTGATTTATCAGCCTCTGCTTGACTGTGTTTAGCAATGGAGTTTTCAGCACTCAAAAGGCACTGTTCCATTGATAAGACAGTTGCTAGAACATTTTCCTTTATATAATAAGTTAAGTGGGACTTTTCCTTTTCTTCCAGAAGTGATATCAGATTCAAGTGCTGGATGCACTGCAATCAGAAAAAAAAGCCATTAAATATTGGCCAGATTCTTTTTTCAGGATTTTACAAGAGCAATAAAGCAGCCCTACCACAATCAACTTCTTACATCCCCACCCTCAGGTTCTATAAGGAAATACTGTAGGGAATAGGTGAGAGAATAGGGACTTCTATAACATACTATTTATGGTGAGAGGCCACTCCCTCCCCTCCCACAAGCCACCTAAAGTGGGGTTTCAAGATGAAGGGTGCTTATAACATGGGTAGCCAAGTACTTCACTCCCTGCCTTCTAAGCTCTAAACCCATAGGCCCACCCCACTGATGCTTCCTTGAAAGATAACCGGTTGTGTGTACCCTGGAATTTAGGAGCATCCATGAGCATAGAGACTGAGACCTGCTTCTTATTTGTAGATTTCTGGAGGGACTCTTAAGGGAATAGCCTGGGGTGAGTAGAGACTGTGTTGCCATATGTCTGGAAAGGTGACAAGAGGTCGCCATGTGTCAGCTAGCTATTATGAGTAACAAATTACCTAAGATTTAATGGTTTAAACAGTAAGCATTTATTGTTGTTCAGTCGTCTACAGGTCAACCGGGAAGTTCTGGGCTGAGCCAGACTATGCTGATCTTGACTGAGCTTGCTCATTAGTACACATTTAGCCTGTGGGTCAGTTGGGAATGACTGGTCTAGGACTTGGAATGGCTCACTTCCATGTGGTCTTTACTTCTCCAGCCCATTAGTCTTGAGGTGGAAGGGCTCTGAGAAAGTCAAAGCATGCAGAGCTGCAGAGCCTTTGTGGGTGGTCTAGGCTCAGAACTGGGACACTGTCACTTCTTTCACTTTCTATTTCAGCAGTTGAGAGGAGACTGGGAGAAAAAACAACAAATCCCTTACATGATAATATTCCCACCAAGTTGACACAACTAAGAGCATTTTCACTTATATTATATGGACATCATCCTCCTTTAATCTTTAGCCTGATGGTTAGACCTGATTTTTCCCACTCAATTAACACACACATCTACTCCCCTTTACCACATGGCAGATCTCCAAATATTCACAACTATACTGTATCCTTTTTCTTTTCCATTCTTCACATCCTTCAGTCATTTCTCTAATGATATGCTTTGAAGCCATCAAGGTCACTGCAGTTGAGATACAATCTGACTTGTCACTTTTTTTCTTAAACATGACATTCATAACTGTATGTGATATTGCTGACTTATTTTGACAAGAGCTGTTAGCAGTGGGATTGTGTTTTCTTTTCCTGTTTTGCTTTAATCTGAATTCTGTGATTTTATTTATGTGCCCAAATGTTGTAGCTTTTGAAGGAGCTGAATCACACAGTTGGTTTATATTGATGGATGGTTCAGTAAATTCTCCCAGTTCCTTTTTCATACTGAGAGCAGCTAAACCAAGATTTACCCATCCAGTATCTGTACAGTATATTTTAAAATGTGTAAAGGTAGGGCTTGATATTTTTCTTGTTATAATTCCTTTTCTTGGATTCAAGCCCAGGGTATCAGTCTGTTCAGATAATTTTGAATCATGATTCTCTTGTCTTCTCAGTTTTGTCCCAGCTATAATTTTTTGTCTTTGTCCAATAATTGGCAAGAATGTCAGACTAGGACGGCCCAAAGTCACAGCCCTGAGCACTTCTTGACAAATGCCCTTTAGCCTGAAAAGAAGCAATGAGGAGTATGAGTACAGATTGCTTATCTGACTGCACTCACATTAAAATACCAGTTCTCTGACTTCTTCACAAGGATATCATGAGAGAGCTTTTTTTTTTCTGGAGGCCTTGCTGAAAACCACACACAATATCTATAACACCCACCACTTATTAACTACAGATACTTTTTCTTTGTACATTAATTCAAAATATTGGTATTGTAAAATATTAAAGCATATAGAGGAGAGAATAATATAATAAACCATGTAGCTCTTTTCCTGTTTTACAAAATATTCACATGACATGTTTGCTTCGGAATTATTTTTTTTTTTCGCTTTAGGAAGTAAAACATTACTAGTACAATTGGGGTAACTTGTGTCCCTTTCTTATCATGATTTCAGAGTTTATCATTCTTCTGCATGATTTATAACTTAACTACATATGAACTGTATCCATAAACATTATATATTGATTTTGTAGGTCTTTAAACT